TGTGTGTGTGTGTGTGTGTGTGTGTGTGTGTGTGTGTACCGGGGATCAAACTTGGGTCCTTGCGCTTGCGAGGCAGACTCTGGAATTACTGAGCTAAATCTCCAGCCCTACCCATGACTGTCTTTTGTCTCCACACACAGACCTCCTGGAAGGCAAGGATGGCCTCATCCTCTCCAATCTGTCATCATATGTAAGCTGGATTGGACAGAGGTGTGTTTACTGCCTATCAAAGGACTGGTTGGTTAGGTGAGGAGGGAGGAAGCCTGCTAATCAGTAGGTCTGGAACATAAACTTTTCACTGCTAAGTACCCTGGGGCTGTGAAGATAAAGGAGGCAAGAACATTTCAAATTCAGTGAAGACTCAGTTGGGGGGAGACAGAAAGCCCTGCTCTATGATCTGCAGGAAAATTGTCCCTGCATGAACAAGGAGTGGGGGACCTTGGCTGCTATGAACACACTTCTGATGACAGCACAGTGGGCAGACCTGTTTTTATAAAGGAAATCAAAACCACATGCACTTTAACAGCAGTGTGATGCAGTGGCTATAATAAAGACTGTGGAGTCAGAAAGGTGTGCGTTCAAATCCTGACTCTGCCACTTTTCATGTGAGCCATTTTGGGCAAATTAATTTCTTAAAGCCTTGGTTTCCTCATCAATAAAATAGAAATGTTTTATATTATCTACTCCATCTTGGAGTAGATGCAATAATTTAAGGAGCTAAGGCACCTCATGCGGAGTCTAGAACAAAGAAACCAATACGGGTACCAAGTGGTATCATCATGTTCCACATTTACTCTCTATGACTTCCTTGAACTTATGGCCTTTGATATTAGCATTACATGTTTTCAAATAACATTTTAAGTCTGCTCCTGCTATTCCTCTGGGGTCCTGACAATTATATTCCTATTTTGATGAGAGTGATCCCCCAAAGCAACACCCCATAAAGCCACATTTCACTCCCGCGTGCTGCCCATAAGCCCTGCAGCGGGGACTTCCTGGACATGTGCTACCTTGAGTGTGAAGGCCCCGCTCCATCACTCCATGCTTGACCTTCATGTGGCGCGTCAGGTTCCCCTTCAGGGTGAACTTGCTTGGGCAGTAGAGGCACTTGAAGGGTTTGCTGTCTGAGTGCAGGTGCATGTGGCCCATCAGGTTGTGCATCCGGTTGAATTCCTTCCCACACAGCTGTTGGAGACAGAGGTGAGGAGAGCACAGTCATCCTGCCAGGGACACCTGCCTCCAAGCCCAGGAGGGACAGAGTGCAAGGGGCCACGTCCACTTCCACTCTGTGTGGACCTTAGTGTTTCAAACTGCTTCCAAGGAACCATGTCAGGGAGGGGCTCAGAGGTGGTGCAGGGAGGGACAGACGCATGAGACAGGGGTTGGTGGTGTCCCGGGATCCTTAAACACAAGGGTAAGAATTAGAAAGCTTCTTTTGAATGCCACCTTTGGAAAGGAGAAGAGCTGATCTGAAAAAGTAGATTCTGGAACTAGTTTTCTTTATTAATAAGGAGATGACTACATGTTTAGTATTTATGGAGTATCTACAATATGGAAGACATTCTAAGTCTGCCTAGAAATAGCTTGATTATCACATCAATGTTAGTGGGGCTGGAGCCGGGATAAAAAATTCAGGCCACTGGACACCAGAGGTTACCCACTACTTTGTACTGCATTCCCCCGACATGGCTCTTCTGTTAGACTATATCAGACTGCATACCTTTCTAAATTTTAATTTGTTAATCATTGGGGTAAATTTCAAAGTTAAAAGAAACAGAGAGAGAGAGAAACGAGAAAGAAACAACGAGACATCTAAGGGAAGGAAGTGTCTTTCCTCCAGGTAGGGATTTGAAGACATGAGAATACTCTCTCAGGAATACACAAAAGTCAACATGTTTTACTCATTTCTTTTGCATAATTTTTCTCCATTTTCTTCCAAGTACTGTACCAGTGCTTGATGGATCACAGCAGTGGTTCTCACACTGGTTCCAGAAGAGCAGTCCCTTCCTTTCAAAGGCAGTATGTGCGGATTCTGGATTGAATTGTTATTAATGAAAGCAACAATTCTTTAGGGTTATGAGAGTTGAGCTGACTTGAAGGAATGGGCAGATCGAATACATGATGATTCTCTGAAGTTGGCCTGAGAGGATGCAGGGTGGTAAGAGGCAGCCAGCCCGGGCTGGCACATTTCTCATAGATAATCTGCAGATGAGTTATGAGTGGCTGGTTCTGTATTTTTGAATAATTCATATTTGGGGATATTAGGTACTCATTCCCTTGTTTCCATACTAGCAACAGTGAATGTGGCATCCCAGGTGGGGTTGCAAGCTTAGCACCCCGAACACTGCAGTCACTTGAACTGGCAACCCCAGAAAAGGATGAGGGATTGATCTAGTTCCAACTTCCTTGAGAGAAGCAATGTGTGGGATGGATACTTGTTTTCTTTTATTCTTTTGTTTTATCCTGAACACAGAGTATTAAGATATCAATCTGTGGCTCTATTTTGGTACAGCTTAGTATATCCATTTCTTTATTATGGCTAAAGAAATAAAATTTTGACTCTAGAAAGTCCACATTAGAGATTCTACATTTCCAGTCCTGGATCATTTTTAGACAAAGTATATCTCTTTGGGTTTGTGGAACTGTTCCTGATTATTTGGAGAGACGTTGCTGGTTGCAGTTGCCGAGTATGACCAGTACCTCCATGAGTACAGTATTTGTTTAAACTGTTCTCACTGGTAGATTGCAAAACACACAAAGGCTGTGTCTGCACTTTTATCGTACCCCTTGCCTAACTAATGCATCGTGGGTTATCAGTAAGAATCTGTTGAGTGTAGTGGTGGGGCACAGTGCCGCAGAAGAACTGATAGAAAAAAAAAATCCTCAAGTGGTGAATCACAAGAGGCGTAGAGGGAGAAAGGCTGAAGGCTGGAAGGTCAATTAGGCTATTGCACAAGTCCAGCATGGATGGAGTCCTATAGGACAGACAGTCATCACTGAAAGGAAGGCATGAGTGCCTTCTAAACTTGCTCCCAGGATGGGAGAAATTCATCTTTCAGTTGTATCTGTGGTTGCTAGGTATGAAAAGCTGGACTGGCCTGCAAGGATTTCGTGAAGAATGTGGAATTTTAGCCTAGCCTTGGAGAATGTGTAGTGTCCTTTGTTTTGACAAAAGGATAAATCTCTCTCTCTGTCTCTGAAAGTTCGCACTGCGTAGTTCAAGCTGGCCTTGAACTCATGGTGATAGTCCTGCCTCAGCCTCCCGACTGCTAAGATTAAAGGCATGTGTCACTTCATTAGACATTGTTAGACATTTGTGTCAAGTTTACAGCACGTGTGAGTAATTGTCACTGTTGTGATAATGATCCATTGCCTATGGCTGTCTTACCTTCTGGAACTTGGGGCAGGGCAGACTAGAGGGGTGTGCCCATCACAATGGCTATCCCTGGGTGCAGGCAAGCCACTTTTTAGTGTATTTTTCTACTCTATTTTTCTGGCTCAATTCATTCAGTACTGAAAATTTTGGAACATTTTAGTAATACTGTACAAGGGGACATGATGACTTTAAAATGATACTGTCCCCTATAGTCAAGACCTGTGGCCTCAGGGAAAGTCCATGTGGGACATGACTGGTCAGGTATATTACTTTGTGTATGGTTGATAAAGAAATTATTTTTTGTGTGTTGTCAAAATTTAATTTTACATACAAGAGTTATCCTGTGTAGTTTATTGTAGCCTACTGTAAGCACTAATAGAGAGCTTTGCCAGAGCTACAGGAGGAGAATCAACTCCAAAAGGTTTTTGGGTCCCCAAGTAGTGTCCCACGTAATCTCTAATGGAAGAGTCACCTCCTTTTCTTTGAAAACAATCTCAGTATCAAGCACAGAGCCACGCACATAGTGCACTTAGTGAATATCTAAGTACTGCATTTGGTTGAAAGAATAAAACAATTTAGGGAAATATCATTACCCCATGCAAAATTCTGTAAAGTACCAGTACCTATGACCATTCTCATCCTTTTCCCCACTAAACCCATACACATTAGTTTGCAAACTAAAATCCTCACCAGCAGGATGGAGCCAATTAACTCTGGATGTGAGACACCTGGGGTTCCATTCACATCTCAAGGGTAGGTATTTAACTTCTTCCTCTCAGCCCCTGACCCTTCCACAAAGCCCTCTGGTCCTTATCCAGAATACCTGGCCTCTTCATCTGCCTTGGAAGATTATCTTCACATGACAATGCCCAAGATTATCTTCACATGACAATGCCCAAGATTATCTTCACATGACAATGTAAAGATATTTTATGTCTCTGAAATTCAGAGGGAAACCTCTCAGACTGTTGGTGAAGTGGGGCCAGAGAAAGAGGCTGGGCCAGCTAATGATGGCACCTTGAGTTAAAGTTTGAGATATAAATTCGAAGCAGAATCACTGCAGCCAGGGAGGGGTGTTGGACTGGAGGGAAGAATGGCTGGGAGTTCCAAAACTCAAATTTCTCCTCTGGGAGAAAGCAGCCATTTAATTTAAAGTCACTTTTAATCACAAGGTATGAAGCCAAGATCTAGCCCTGGTCAGGACCCGCTGGATAATCTCCTACAAAGGTGTACAGACATGAAAATAAAGTAGGTGCGGGAAGTTGATGGAGTGGTAAGGACTCAGCTTTCATCTTTTAAAGAGAGGGTGGGCCACAAAGTTCAACTAAAAGAATGTGAAGGCCCTGGGCTCAATCTCTAGTACAGCAGGCAAAGAAGCTGGGTAGAACGGTCTGGGTCCACCAGGGCTGCTCGTTACAGAGGTGAAGCAGAGGGCATCCTTGTTGAGATGACCACTGGAAAGATGAAAGTTGAGATATCTGACCTATCATTTAAAAAACAGGCTACATGGTCATGAGGTTTTAAGGTGACAGAGCAGGCACACAGGTGACGGTAGGAACCCAGAACGATAGAGAACTTTGTCTCCTGTACGATGTTGACAATAACCACAGTTTCTTATGAATGATGTTGGGAGGAACAAATGAGATAATTCATGTGAAATACTTGGCAAATAGTAAAGGCTCCATAAATATTAGCTTGTATTACTATCATTATCTAGTCTATGGTCAACTGTTTAACATTCCAGAAATAGAAAGATCTTTGAAGACGAGGGTGCTGTGCTTTTCAGCAAATTAACTGGAGGGGATGTCAAAGCCAGGACCAAATGAGGAATTCTCCAAGTAAATCCCTGCTGACTGACCTGTGGCCTAATAAAAATGTAAGCAGTTGCAATGGCCCATCCTGGGAACTGTGCATGGAAAGTGAAGATTCATCCCAGGTGGCAGGATGCAGCAGGTCCTGCTACTGAATCACTCAGGGTGCCCTTGAAACAGCTTGCCAGTTCCTGGTTTGTAGCAGGCCTCCTTGCTCTGGGCTCTTGGCATCCTTCTTTCCCAGATCCAGGGCCTGGAGGCTCTTCAGGCACTTGCTGCCCATGATCCCCCAGGACCACGTTGGCAGCCAGCAGTGGCCATGGAGAGGTTGGCTGTGGGCAGAGACAGGGCAAAGGCAGCGGCAGCCACAGGCCAGGGCCAGGAGCTCAGAAAGTCAATAAGAAGCACACTGCCTTGCTGCAGCCAGCCTGAGGTGAGCTTCAGAGCTAAGATGCCCCAGGAAGCCCGTGTTTTCCTTTTCTGAGAGCAAAGGTCGAAGAGCTGCAGCCAACAGCCAAGTAGAATGGCCTCGCTGAACTGCCCTTCCCTTCCATTCTTCCCCCTCTCTCCTTTAATAAGAAGGGTGTTCCTTTCCTCAAAGGGAGAGAGAGGGAGGGAGGGAAAGAGAGAGACTGTAAACTGTCCAAAAGGACCGTGAGAAAACAGGAAGCTTTGAAAAGTACAAGAGAAAGCAAGATGAAATCTATTTGCAGGCTGGCCCCTGGGGACATGTGAGGCATTGTTAAGCAGGCAGTTCATACAGCTATATCCTTCCTTCTGCCAGAGGAGGCTGTACTGCCAAAAGGCTGCTATCTGGTCACTGCCTTAACCCCCTCTTCGCCAGCCCGTGTGCCCCCTGTGGTTTCTCCCACTTGGAGCATCACAGAGCTTGAGGGGAAACAGCCAGTTTGGCAGAAGAGGAAGTGGAGACCCTTTTCAGGGAGACCTCACCCCTCATCTAAAGGCTCTGCCCTCTACTCCAGCCTCTGCTGCAGATGACCTGGTGATTCATAACTTAGGCAGCTCCCAGCTTCACCCATCTCAAAAGAGAATTTGTTCCGGAAATTCTGGATGCCTGCTTTTCCTGGACAGGTTTCCAAAGACGGCAGCTGGTTCTTTGCTGTTATGGAGTGTGGCTGCTACAAGGATAGTATGCAGATCAACCCCTGTGTGCTTACGCAGAATATGGGAAACGTATTTCTAAAACATGGCTTCAGGCTACAGGCACAGGTCTCTGGACAAACTCCAGCTGGCTCTAAAAAGCAAGGAGTTCAGAGAAGCAAGGAGTCCAGCAGTCAAATCAATAGCAAAAGAGTCCAGAAAGGCAGTGATTTTTTTTATATAAGCAAAAAGAAACATAGACTGGAAACCTTTCCTCTCCTCTAATTTTCCATTCTATTGTTAATGCCTAAGCCCACAGTTAGTGAATATTTCTGCTTGCTGGAGACAGCTGTTGCCACTGAGCACAGGGTCAGAGAGAACTATTTCATGCTACAACAGGGGAAGGATTTATTTCAGAAGAGAATTTTAAAGGTGAGAATCTCAAGAAATTTGAATGTGTTACTAAAGATTCTCCCTTGATGCCAGTTCTTGGGTAAAGGAGAGAGTGCTAGATAACTGCTGAAGTGTGGCAGCAGCAAGGCCTGCCATGGCAAGCATGGGAAGAGAAAGCTCTTTCCTGGCACCAAGACCAAGCTTGGGTTGAGTTCTCCGGCTTGTTCTCCAACATTGCTATGTGGCCAGCCAGCCATTTGTCTCTGATGGTTTTGAAATGCATAGCAATGAGAAACTGGCCTCCATCCCTCTCCCAACTTCCAAAACCCAACAACCTTCACACAGGGTCAGATTTCCAAGAATCCGGCACAACACAGATGGGACCCCAGGTCCATGGGACACCATCTGGAACTGGCTCCTCCCCAAAGTGTTTAAAAACACTGGAAGCCTGTTGAATAATTTGTGAACTCAGACATGAAAAAGGGTGGGAATACTTCCCAGGGATTTGTGACTTTTGAGGATGAACAGTCCAATTCCTGTGCCAGGTCATCTCCCGTTGGGAAGTATGAACTGTGCATCATTTCAAAGCTACAGAGGAATCACCTGGCACTCACTTCCCAGGAGACAGGGGGCTATGTGTCCAGGTGACCAACACCCATCACTGTTCTTTCAGAGATGTTTAAGGATAGAGACAGTTCACTTAAATTTGAAAAAAATACCCTTCCAATTATTTTTGACTAATAATAAATAACACTCTCTACCTGGCCTCCTCACCTATGGTGTAACCTCCTGAGAGGATGTGGCCATCAGCAGAAGTGCCTTTTCAGATGACCAGCCCAATTCCTGTGCCAGACCCATCTCCCATTGGGAAGTATAAACTCTGTATGGTTTCAAGGCTGGCCTTCTACTTCACCCTCTTTCATGGGAACTGATGATGTGGATCAGACATCCAGAGCCTAATCAACCCTCAGGGAGAGGCAAAATGGAGTTTCTGAGCCCTCAGGCTGACACGGCACACCCTTGGGGTAGAGGATGGTACATTGTCATGGGGTGGAGCAGGGCACAGCCATCCCTGAACAGAGACCTGACACATCCAGCTAGGACGGCTCACTGCAACATTGGGCCCAGGCTGCATTGCTTTATGAGGTTTCTGTGTATCAGAGCCACAGTGAATTATCTAGATCCTCAGACACTATTTGTCCCAAGAAATCCAGGCTCTTGGAAGTGGAAGCAGACCTGCCTCTGTGTCCTCAAATCTCAAAAGCCCTCATGTGTCCATCCACCAGGAGCACTGTCTTTCAGGTTGTACCACTACTGCTGGATCAGAATAGATAAGGTATAGGCGGTTGGACTAGACTGGTACGGATTTTTTTTTTAGGGGATAAATCAGACAATGACTTCCTTCATGTTTTAACAACTCAACTCCAGAACAGTCGAAGAGATAAAATCATTATTCATGCTTGAAGCCCAAGAGTAAACAGAGCACAGGGAATAAAGAACGGCCAAGAGAGCCTGCCTGCACCTCTGCTGTAAGAGACAGTGAACCTCTGCAGGAAGGAACGGTGCTTTGGAGTGAAGCACTTTAGGGGTTCAGTGGAGTAGGAAGGAAATCAAAGAAGTGTCTGAAGAGAGAGAAGAAATGCTCTGTGGCTGCCCTCTCAGGTATACAGCACAGAGCCCCTCACTCAGGAGGGTCCAGAGTTGGATTTGATGTCCTGACCTCACTGCATTGCGATTCTTAACACTGTCTGATCATTCCATTTTGCACTGGGCCCTGAAAAATCATGTAGCCTGTCCTGCATGCTGCTTCCTCTCATTTTAGCTTAGCTGACTCAAGATGGACATAAATTGACTTTCAAACCACTGGGAACTTGGAGAAAAGGAAGGGAAACAGAAGTGGGTGGCAGGAAAAGGACTGGGGGGAGAAACCTCCCTCTGCAGTGTCTGGACAATACCCATACCGTCTAGGGAAGCTCTGGTTCCTGACCCCTCACCCTGGCCAGGAGTTGCCAACACAGGAAAGAAGTCAACTTCACAGGGGGTTCCTTCAAGAGGGGGCCACTGTGCAGAGGAATGAAAGCAACAACAGCCCCGGGAAGCAGGGAACCCTACTTCAGGAATATGGACCTGGGAGAGCGTCATTCGGACCCCAATCCACAGTAACAGAAAGAAGGAAAACCTCCATTTCAAACAGAAGAGTACTACAATGCCTAATGAAGCATTTCCCTCTTCTGGCTTCAGCCATTTCTTTGTGACCAGGATGACACTTGTCCATACAATCCTTATACTACCCGATTATATATGCAAGACTCCTCTTTTTAGAAGTGGAGAAGGAAACAATGTTGGGGCTGGGGAAGTCTTAGCAAGCCTAAGAGCTCTAAGTCAGACCAGCTACTGCCTTGTGATTCACCAATCTCCTGCTCACACATTTCCTCTGCCAGTGAAATAAAATCCAAATTAATCTGACACAGAAATTTTAACAAAGATGCTCTATCTCTGTGCTATGTGGGCACTTGAGAATAAATGAAAAATACTCTAGCTGACTGTGCTCTTAGCCAAAGCCAGCATTTCTGTGGTGCTTTCAAAGGCTACCTTTGGAATTCCTTTTCTGTCTCTATTTGTGCAATATTTTTAATTGACATGCATTAATTGTATACATTTATGAGATACAGTGTGACATTTGTATTCATCTATACAGTGTGTGATGATTAGGTCAGTGTAATTAGTACATCTATCATCTCAAACAGTTTTCATTTCTTTGTGTTGGGAACACTCAAAATCCTTACTTCTGGCTATTTTGAAATATGCAATAAATTATTGTTAATTTTAGTCATTTTACTGTGTTACACAATTCTATGACTTACTCCCCCAGTTGTATTTTTGCACACAGATCCCCATCAACCTCTCTGTCCCTTCTTCCTCCTCCCCTTCCCAGCCTCTCACAATCACTATCTTACCCTCTACTTCTATAAAATCAACTTTTTATCTTCCACATACAAGTGAGACCACATGGTTTTTTGTCTTTCTATGCTTGGCTTATTTCACTTAACATTGTATCTATCCTCCAGGCTCATCCACATTACCACAAATATCAGGATTTTATTTTTTATGCCTGAATAGTATTACAAATTTGCTTCATCCACTCATCCTTTGATAGACACCTAGGCTGATTCCACATCTTGGCTATCATGAATAATGTTGCAACTACCATGAGCTCTGGCCATCTCACTACCAAGCAGATGCTACAAGGAAAGAAAGCTGCATGCCAGGACCCCTTTCATCCTCACTGGGAAGCCTATCTTCAAATCAGAAGGTTCAATTCCAAGTGTGAGAAGGGGAGGAAGAAAGGTGAGGGAAAAGGGGGTTTTTGCTGGAAGCTGGAAGCTCTTCTGACTTTTCTCTCTGTTCTACTCATTGGCTTGGAAGGTTTCTCTTCTGCTCTGGGGCAGAAGTTCTCCACATTGGCTTCATCCTGTACCAATTCCATTATCAAATATCCCTTCTTCCATCCTCAGACTTTCCCACTGATGTCACAGTGACGCAAACAGGACCAGCCAAGGGCTAATGTGAGCACAGGTATGGTGGAAAGAGAGGCAGGTGGCAGATAGGACTTAGGGCTGGCCTGGGAACTATGCGGAGCCTCACTAGGCCCCTGATGAACCAGATTAGAAGGTTCTCAGGGGAATCCTCTCCACTGGGCATGCACACAATCCTGAACTTGTGCACAGCCCTGAATCTGCCCTTTGCACTCACCTTGCATTTGAAAGGCTTCACATCAGAGTGGACAATCATGTGCGCCTTGAGGGTCTGTTTCTGCACGAAGCTCTTGTAGCAAAGGTGACACTGGTAGGCACGAATGTTGGTGTGGATCAGCACGTGTCTTTTCATGTTGGCCAGCAGGGTGAACTCCCGCCCACAGATCCCGCACTTGTGCTCCTTCACACCCTGTGGGAAGGCCAGAGTCAAGATGTCTGTGGTTAATGGGAAGCAGGCTTCTATGAGGTTAGAGGCTTTGTTTTTCTCCCCACTACATAATCCACAGAGAGCTCAGTCAATGTCCACATGGTGTGGCATTAGCCTTATTATTTTCTTGAAAAGTGTAGATTATATACCCCCCCACCCCTTCTGATCACAGATCTCTAGAGAAAACGAGCTATTGCTTTTGTTGTTCCTACTACTGCCCATATAATTCTACAATAACAGTTTCAAAGGATTAATACGATTTGGGTAAGAGCACTGTGGAGTGATATGCAAAATGAATCTATAATCCAGCTTTCACAATAACGAGAAAACAAAATCTAAATTGATGCTATTGTTTCCCACATTAAAACTGATGTCCCCTTAAGTACTCATTATCAGACTCAAAAAATCCCAGAAGAACAACATCCTCACTTCAGTGGATCACAACCTGGAAATTGCCCTTTCCAGTTGGTGCCCCGGCTTCCCTCCAGCTGTTGGGACAGTGTGCCATGGCTCTGGAGTCTTCTCTAACTGAACTTCTTCTGATGCAGAAACATGACAAGTGACAACCCTCTGAATTACAAAACAGGGCAGGAGGTTGTCTAGTTTCCTTGACACCTGTAGAAAAGTGTATGAGTACCTGAGCATCAATGTCCCCAGTTTAGAGCATTTCCAGGGACTCACAGCTTGAGGAGAATTATTAGCTAAACCTGAGCTATCAGTATTTCCCTGAAAATGGCTGTGCAAGTTATCTTGATCCAGAACCACCTTGTTTTGTTTTGTTTTTGAGACAGGGCCTTTCTACATGGCTCAGGCTGGCCTCAAACTCATGTGCTCAAATGATGCTCCCACCTCACCTTCTTGAGTTGCTGAGATGTCAAGTGTGTGTCACCACGCTCAGCCAAAATAACTGATGACAAGGAAAACTTAGAGAACCATAGTACTGAAATGATTCTTACAGGATTAATTAGAACAAATTCCAAAAGAACAAACTTCGAAAAATAAATATTGCCTAGTGTCCACAGTGGCCTAAGGAAGAAAGGATTTGTTCCAAGCTCAGTTCTGACTGTCTGTATTTCCATTTATTTAATCTGTGGCATGGTAAGACAGTGCCACTCCTTGGTTTTGGTGAGTCCATGGTACTAAAGGGTAGGTTCAGATCTCTGCCCAGCTATTTACTGGCTGTGAAACCTTGTCTAGCCAGATCATTTCCTAGCAAAGATTTCTCAAGATGAAGTGGTAGGTCATAGGAACTCTGGACTTTTTTCTAGCTCAAACACTTTCTCATCTTTGTAGATGAACATGGATTTATACTAAAAGGAGACTTAGGAAAGAACCTCCTTCAAAAATTGGATTTTAACATCCTCTATTAAGATGAGTGTTTAGATTTGTTGCATATTCAGTGAGTTTTGAACTTTGAAATCAATAAAATATTTTCTTGACAGGCTTCAAATTTTACTATCAAATTTTTCTTCTCTCTAGATATTCACTGGGGCCAGGGACGTGGCTCAGTCACACAGGACATACTTAGCATGGATGAAGCCCTTGATGTGATCTTAGAACAACTCCCCTAACTGGGTTGGCTATGATCCACTTATCCCAGATCAAGAAGCCATTAATTAGCCCTGTTTTTGGAATTTCTTAGAGAGAAGTCTGTATCCAAAGACTCACACATGGGCCAGTGTAAAAGGCAAGAGGACAGGAGCCTGGCCATAACTTTGGAGCTATAAAGGAAGCTGTTGTATCTGACAGAAACATTAAAAGGACAGAGGGGGTGCCTATGGGGGTGTTGGGGTGAGGAAGGGAAGGGGCTGGGTCTTTGTAAGTTAAGTGTTTTGGGAGTTAAGTGCTGGTATCAGGGATTCCTTAGTGACCATCCCATGCCTTGGTGTCTATATCTGAAAATCAGAGTCACTCTCCAAGTTGCTGAGAAATGAGTAAGGATCAAATGAGAAGTAAAGCACCTGTCTCGGTACAGCAATTATTCAATAAAGTCTGCCTCTCACTGCTGACTGACACTTCTAATTACAGTGGGTTTCTTTTCTGATTTAAACAAAACTTATTTCAGGTACCAGGCTGTTTCTTCCCATTTGGCTTCATTGTTTATTATCTTAGAGAATCTGTATGTTCTAAAATATACCTTTTGTATGTGGGCAGGGCCCTTGAAATAAGCAAATGCCCTTTGTGGCTAAATCTCAATCTACTTTTATTGATGACTCCTGCATTTGGCAGGCAACTCCCCTCAGATGGTATTTACTGGTGTCTTTTGTAGGGCAGGAGCTGTTTGTGCAGTGCCTGCAGTGGCAGTCCTACTCCTCATCTCTGCTGCAGAGCCAGAAAATGTCCTGTGTTGTGTTCTAACAAATGAAGTCTATTAGAGTAGAGCAGAAGCATTTTCTTGATTGGGCAAAGTCTTTCACTGACCCTTTCAGAATTAAAGAATGTTGTAATGAGACTTCAGCTTGCTAGAAATCTTTCACCAAGAAAGCCACCTAGGTTAAGGGTGAAGATAAAGCTCAACGGGGCAGAACTATCCTTTCTGTAGCTCAAAGCAGACTCAAGTCAGCTCAGCCAGGGCAAGACTTCAGGATGCCACCAGGGCCTTGTTTAATGCAGCCTGAGTGACTCCAGGGTTTGCTTACAAACCCTAGGGCCTGAGTATCTCCTTGAACATCTGAGCTCAGGGAAGATAAAACCAAAACAAACAGAGAAGGATGCTTCCTCTTGCATCCTACCAGACCAACCACAGGCCTCTGAACCCTGGCAGGCAGGACCACAATTCTGAGGGACTGTGCCCAGTGCTGCTCCTCTCAAGGCACCTGCACATGAAGCAGATCTGAGTGGAGTGAGCAAGCAACTGGAAAGGTAGCTGCAAAAGACCAAGAGAACTCTGCAGAAGGCTCTCACTGGCATAGTCCAGGTGTGGAGGGGATAGGGTGTGATGACTATTCATGCTGGTAGGACATACTCATGCCTGGCAAAATTCCAGGGATTCTTGGGGCTAGGCAGCAGCAACCAGACCAAACAGGCCTCTGAACCCTGGCAGGCAGGACCACAATTCTGAGGGACTGTGCCCAGTGCTGCTCCTCTCAAGGCACCTGCACATGAAGCAGATCTGAGTGGAGTGAGCAAGCAACTGGAAAGGTAGCTGCAAAAGACCAAGAGAACTCTGCAGAAGGCTCTCACTGGCATAGTCCAGGTGTGGAGGGGATAGGGTGTGATGACTATTCATGCTGGTAGGACATACTCATGCCTGGCAAAATTCCAGGGATTCTTGGGGCTAGGCAGCAGCAACAGGCAATCACACCATCCCTGCCCACTCTCCTTTCTGCATCATTTTTTTTTTTCCTGCCAGGCTCACTGGACACGAGAGAGGGGTTCATCGACAGCCTATGGTCTTACCATTTGCCAGTGCTCTAAGCGATTGAGTGTGTGTGAGGGCCCTGCTATATTCTCGCGAGGACCGCAGCCCCGGCGCCCGCCCATCCCCACAGTACCTTGTGGGTAAGCGAGTGCTGCTTGAGGTGGTGGGGCTGCACAAACTCCATGCCGCACTCGGAGCAGATGTAGGGCCGGATGTCCTTATGCTTCATCATATGGTTCTGCAGCTGGCTGGGGTACTGGAAGGTCTTGTCGCACTCGGAGCAGTTGTACTGGATGGGGCCCCGATGGGTGGTGAGGTGCCTCTTCAGCTGGGCCAGCGTGGGGAAGTCGAGGCCGCACTCCACGCAGATATTCTCCCGCCCGCTCGCGTGTTTGGCTTCGTGGGCCTTGAGCTCACTGGGGTAGGCGAAGCCCCGGCCGCACACACGGCAGTTGTGCGGCTTCACCTCGCTGTGCTGCATCATGTGGCGCTTGAGGTGGCTGGTCTGGGTGAAGGCCTTGTGGCACACCTGGCACTTGTGGGGCCGCGTGCCCTGGTGCGTGAGCATGTGTGTATGCAGATGGCTGAGCTGTTTAAAGAGCTTCCCACAGCGGCTGCACGCGTGCGGCTTGATGCCGCTGTGGCCCAGGATGTGGGTCACCAGGTTGTACTTGGAGGTGTAGGACTTCTCGCAGGTGGGGCACTGCCAGCGCTTCTGTGCTCCGCCCACGTCCACGTAGTAGCTGTCGTCGATCTGCACATTCACGTCCACCCTCTCCACCTTCTGCTTGACCTCCTCGCTGTCGGGGGGCTCTGCTTTCCGAGTCAGCGGCGGCTCGGGGGGCTGCTTGGGCAGGAAGGTGTGCCGGCCGAAGGGGAAGGGCGAGGTGGCCGGCACTAAGAAAGGGAACACCAGGCCCGGGTGCACTTTGGGGTAATAGGGGTAGGGCGCGGGCAGGAAAGGCGGGGGTGCCTGTTGGGGCCACAGGGCGCTGGGCTTGAGGGGCTCCTGCTTGATGGGCTTGCTGGTCAGCGGCTCCAGCGCTCGGTAGAACTGGAAGCCAACATCGCACAGGTCGATCATCTGTGAGTCACACTTGGGGCGCTGAGGCTGCGGGAAGAGCAGAGGCAGGTTCGCTGGCCCTTGGACTTTGCTCTCCTCTGAGGGGAGGCTGAGCACCGCCTCCTCAGCAGCGTGGCTGTAGGGCATTTTGGTGGGCATGCTCTTCCGCTTGCGGGATCCGCCTCCTTCCAAGACCCCGGGGAATCCGTCCAGGTGTCCAGCTGGGGGTTCATATCGAAACTGGGAAAACGGCCCCCGGAGGGCTTCCGGGAGGGGATGCCTCTGGGGTGCCTTCCCTCGGGAAGCCACAGGCTGTAGGCAGTGGGGAAAGGATGGGGGCCTCTTCACACCCAAGTTGAAACGCACATCCTCGTCTTTGATCATCTTTATTTCCTTCTGCATCCTTGGCAATTTTCCTTGAAACAGAAACAAGGTCATTGGTTGGTGTCTTTGTTGTGCTTTGTTTTGAATTTTTCTCTCCCTTAAGGGTTCTGGTTACTGATCGGTACTAATTTATGGAAAGAACAATACTTACTTAATATTGGCCTTCTTTAGGATTGTTCATACCATCCTTCCTGTGCACCCACTTCTAATGTGGAAAGCACTCACTTGCTGCAGGGGGTCCCTACACAGGGCTGAATCACACTGGGTTCAGTGTAAATCTAGCTATGCAACCATGGTGACAGGCAGTGGGCTTGTTTGCAAAGAAAGTTGAGAACACATCTGGTCCTTTTCCTGATTTGAGATGATGTCCTAAGTGCCAGAAAGATGATATGACACCCTCAAGTCACACAGCTACTCATGGAAGAATCTGAACGGAGGGCCTGTTCAATCTGAGATGTGACTGTCTCTATTAATGATGAGGAAAATATGTCTTATCAGATAGTTTCCTCCATAATTAAACCAATTTTTGCTACCCTTGCCTAGCTTGGGCGTCTGCTGAGGAGGATGGGAGTATTCAAGGTTATGAAGGGGAAGGGACTCTATCTAATGCTGCTCTCAGAACTGTTTCTGGGTTTCCATTCTGAGCAGGGTGTGCTACTGAGATGTACCAAGTGGACAAGATTGATATGATTAAGAAAAACTGGGCAAACCACATTATAGTCATGTTGACAATGGATGAGTTCTAATGTTCAGCCAGAATCATCTTGAGGGAGACATTTCCAAAGTTATGAATCACTAAACCCACACTTGGGTCCTCTCTCTTCATGTAGATGTCAAAGTGAAAGGCAGCCTTTGGTGACTCCTGTGGCACCTATTGTCCTGTGGAGCCGTTACAATCAAGCACATCAGGAAGAACCTGTTGGGAGAAATCTGGGCCAAGAGCATGTCTCCTTTCACAGGTCTCCTGGCTATTTTGCTATTTCCCTCACCTCGATGCTGGTAGAAGGAACCAGTTGCTGTCTTTTCTGCACAAGTCTTCTGAATTTGCTTGATTCCTTTGCTCAGCAGAGGCTGCCACAGTTGGCATGGCAAAGTATTAGGTCTAACCTAGTGAACTCAGGGTTCTGGTCCGGGATGGCTACAAACCAAACAGTACAGGATGAGGTTCTGGGGTGAGAGGGCTAGCAGAGTCCGTGATTTGTTATGGTCTTTGGTGAGACAGATGCAGTTTGTGGAAGGATCAAGATATTCCCAAACTGCATGTGCGTGTTTCTGAGAGGGCTGAGAACTATAGCATAACTGAAGCAAAAATGGCATTTTAATATTTGGTTATCAAGTTCAGATACAAACAACTCAATTGAAAGGGGAAATACATGTTCCTATTATGTGAATATTTGGGAATTATTTAAAGCTGCTCTGTGAACTGGTTGGAGAACTAAAATAATAATGTTTGTTGATACTTTGTGTTTATGCAAGTGAGAAGATGTTCTTGGTCTGTTGTTCATTTCTTAGATTTGGGCTTTAGTAGTAAATAAAGAGTAAGAGCTTGCATGCCCAGTAAGTGGGAGGTCCAGCTTGTATCCTGTCTTTGGTTCCTCCTAAAATTCTTACCAAAATGTGAGATCTTTCCCCAACTGCTGCCTTGGGCATTTGTAGGAAGTGAAAGGGCAGTAGGAAGACAGGCCTAGCTTTAGAAGACTGGAGAGGTGTGGGTGGGCTATAAAAGGAGAGGACTGGGACAGCATAGGCTTTTTTATGGCTTCCTGTGTTTCCCAGGTGGTCTCTTGGCTTGAGGTGCATACAGCAGGTCCTGCATTCACATACAGTTATAGAGGGTGGGAATCTGGCCCAAGAATTTGTTGCATCTAAAAAATAATTGGCTTTCAGACAAGGCTAAATATGTGCAATGGGAGAGAAAATTGCAGATCCTTTCTCTGGCATTTCATTTAGCCATAGTTGATTTTGTAGCCTCATGAAGATAAATTCTTTTGTAGAAAAGCCTACTCAGACTGGAAAAGCCTTCCAGTGTGTGAGTATCTGCCACTGTCACAGTTGAGCCCATCCAAAAGCAAACTGGTTCTGTTTAATTCTTTTTTTTTTTTTTTTTTTTTTGGAACTGGGGATTGAACTCGGGACCTTGTCCTTGCAAGGCAGGTGGTGGAACCACTGAGCTAAATCCCCAGCCCCTGTTTAATTCTTATATGATTAAAAGAAACAAGTCCTAGTTCATATTAGGAGTAACATTACTGACCAAAAGCTAAACCCAAAGGTATGTTTATTTTCAGTTTTTGCACTTTAATCACCATCAACCTAATAAAACAAAGAAAAACTGTTGAACAGAGATGGTATTTTAAAACATAAATGGCACAGTTGTGTCCCCAATGAAATGACTTCACATATGTATTCTAATCCCCTTACTTTTAAAATTTCATAAAATTAATTTTGCCCAGTTTCTACCTACCTATTCTCTCACCCCCAAAATAGCCTGTGCATCGTAGAATAAAATCAGTAACTCAAAGAGATTTTAAAGAGCTTGGAATCCACCCACTGACATTTGAATAGATCTTCAAGAGAGATTTCCCTTCTGCAAAAGGATCTTTAGGAACATTGCCAATCTCAAGGAGAGGTTAAGGAAAGGAGGGGAGGGAGGGAGAGAGAGCCTATGAATCTGCTTCTCCTGTTGGCCTTCTTGGCGAAAAATTAAGTGTAGCTGCTGCTAGCTATTAATATCCCTGTCTTTGAGCACCAGTAGATAGGGACAAGCCCTAGGGGGCACAACAACAACAAAGTCCAGAAAACCACCTATACTGGGGATGGAGAATGTTCAAGGGAAGAGTAAGGCAAGTGTGTCTTCCTTAGGAGGTAATTTATCTTGAAATCAGGCAAGTTAAAATTCTGGGTGTCTCTGCAAAATGTATTAATAGACTCCTAGAAAATCTCCATGTGTACCACCCATGTGCTCCCTTTTATTTCTAAAAATAGACCCACAGGCATCCATGACAGCTACAGGATTCCCTAGTCAGAGGCAGGAGAAGCGTGGGGACAGCAATCTGGCTGAGATGTTCCAACTGGGGGACAGGCCTGGAGTGGGAGGGGAGTAGCTCCAAGTCCTGTGCCATCAGTGGCTACTTCCAGAGCTCCTGGAGAAAACCAGCAGGTTGTAAGACAGTTTCCTGCCAGCACAGGGTGCTGAGAAAACATGCAACAGGAAAGAGGAACTGAAATTTTACAAGCACATAACTTTGGACAGTTTTGGAGTCTGAGGGTCTGGTCTTGAATGCTGGCTTTGGGGTGGCAGTTGTAGGGGGTTGAGCAAGTTAATTTTGAGGTCTGACCTTGACTGTGAAATGGGAGTCTGAAAATCCCTTTATTGCTATTGGAGACTTAAAATAGCATGTGTGACAGAATGTATTAAACACTAGACAGTGCAGTGGCCTTGGTGGGTAAGACAGAGTGGACAGGAAGGGCTTGGGTCAGGGTTCAGAGGATTGATGCTGGCATCACTACTGTTTACAAATATTAAGCTGTTGCTCACCAGTGACTGGCATCTGAGCTTCTTCCTCTGCAAGTTCAAAACCAAGGCTTTACCCATTTACCCTAAGTAGGTCTTGTCACAGCAGTGAAGGTAAATACAAAGAGGCCAAGGACTTCATTCATTCTGTGTGCAGATAAGCTTTCTAGCTTAAGGCTATTCCCCCATCCCTCCTCCATACTCCCATTCCTGTGATGAAGGTATCTTCCTGTCCATATTAATAACAGATTCTCTGGGGAATGAGGACTTGAAGCAAAGAGAATTAGCTGCTCTTGTGAGTGATTACATCTAGTGTGTGAGAAGCTATTTAATTGCCCCTAATCTAATATTGCAGGTCAATTTCCTAGGGATAGAAGGATCTATTTGTGGAACTCAAAGTCTCAGACACAGGGATAGTGTTGGATCAATATTGGCAAACCAGTGCTTGCAATTACTGCTAGATGTTGAGGACAGGGATCGAGTCTGTTTAATTCTCTGCTGCATCTTTAGGTCCTAGCATGTGCCTGCTTTGGGATGTTCCATATGCAACATTAAAATAAATAGTCTTATCTTAACTCATTTAGAACAAGGATGACTTTGGTATGATTCTAGTTAGATTATCAGCATCCTCATAAATTCTCATGTAGTTACTTTGGAGAATACTTTTTTTTTTGGTTTTTTGTGAGACAGGGTCTCACTATGTAGTTGAGACTGACCTGGAACTCACTAGGTAGCCCAGGCTGGTCTTGAATTCACAGCGGTCCTCCTGCCTCCGCCTCCCGAGTGCTGGGATTACAGGCATGCGCCACCACGCCTGACTTGGAGAATACGTGTTACGTATACCTCATATGAGCTGTTGCTCTTTGGATTTAAAAAAAAATTTTATTATTTATTTATTTATTTTTGAGACAGAGTCTCACTATATAGTTGAAACTGACCTGGAACTCACTATGTAGCCCAGGCTGGTCTCGAACTCACAGCTATCCTCCTGCCTCAGTCTCCCAAGTGCTGTGGTTATAGGCATGTGCCACCATGCTCAGCTCTGCTTTTTGGTTTTTAAGGACACTATTCTCTGACTCACTTTCCAATTCAGGGACACCCTAAATCCTGCTTCCACTAAGGCTGAGGAGCCATTCTCAAAGTGTCACAAGGTTCTGCAACCCTGCCAGAAAACAGATTCCTGAAAAGTCCAAAGGGCAGAAGTTGTTAGACACTAAGACTTAAAGTGCTGGAGTTATAGGCATGTGCCACCATGCTCAGCTCTGCTTTTTGGTTTTTAAGGACACTATTCTCTGACTCACTTTCCAATTCAGGGACACCCTAAATCCTGCTTCCACTAAGGCTGAGGAGCCATTCTCAAAGTGTCACAAGGTTCTGCAACCCTGCCAGAAAACAGATTCCTGAAAAGTCCAAAGGGCAGAAGTTGTTAGACACTAAGACTTCTGAATTGAGAATGGGAACTGTAAACCAAGAGTGGTGGTCACTCTGCATTCTTCCACCCTGAAGAACTTAGTCTACCTA